CAGATTATGATAATAGCATCCTAATCCAGCCTGCAATATAATTATTACAGAGTGTTACATCTGAAACTGTCCAGTAGGGCTAATTCAGCCATTATTTAGACCCTATTTTTGCACTGCAAATGGGTTGCTGAGTTGAAAATGTACGATTGTAATTTCACGGGGCACTCAATGAGTAATGGTATAGGGAGGGAAAAATACAAAAGTGAAATGTGAACAGTAGCGATCAAATCAAACTCTGAAGGACAAAAGACTGTTTGATTCATAGGGAATGAGAAGAGCGGGAATTAAGAAAATAGCAAATCAGTGGTCTGCAGCGTTACGTGTCCAAATCTCAACGACTGCGAGCCTGATGTGCAGTCAGGGACTGCTGGTTCGGCTCCCGCCTTGCATCAGTCCGCCTCTCGGCTCAGCTCTTCCCGGCAGCCTCTCCCCGGCACCCGAAGCATCCCTGAGCTCCCCACCCATCCCTAAAAGAGGGGTCGCCATTGTCTTGTGCCTCCTCTCAGGTGACTGAACGTCACTTTCGGGCAAGAAGCCTCTGGAGCTTCGGAACGGGGCGGAGGAGAGCGCGGGGTGCGGGACGCCGGCGCCGGGCACTCCGCGGCGGGCTGCAGAGCCGGCGGCCTCTTGCGCTCCCGCGCACCCGCTGGACCGGTCCTCAGGGGTCCTTAGGGAAATTATCACAGAACCGACTCGATTGTAATTAATTAATCAAAAGAGCTAACAGGACTACCTGCAGCTAGCGAGGTTAACTCACTGGGCTAGTTGGCTTTCGACTCCTGATTAACTTTTATTAACCCTGGACACGAAATACACAAACCCGCTTCATTTTTTAATGACCTAAATCATCAAAGCGCGGTTGCCGCCCGACCGGTTAGTCTCCGGTTAGTCTCCGCAGGGTCCAGATGAGAAGATGCAGTGCCCGGGGCCGGCCCCATGGGCAGGAGAGCTGCCGCCCCAGCCCTTGCTGGCCTCTCCCGACCGCAGCCGCTCCTGACAGCCCGCAGCCTTACTCTGCGCCTTTTTCTCCATGCGAATTAGTAAAAACCAGGAGAATGAAAGAAAGCTCAGGCGACAGCGCGAGGTGAAAGCTCTATAAAACTCACTATAAGGTGTGTATCGAGGAGACCGTAAAGATCTCCTGGAATGTGAGGGCCAGCTCAGCAACCGGGCAGATGATGCCGCTGCAGAGCACGAAGCCGGGTCAGAATCCGGCCCGGAGAGGCTGGCTGAGGCATCCTGCAAAACTCAGACTGAGGTTTAGACAGCCTCCCCGGGAGTGCCGAGGGGCAGGCGGCAGCGGAAGAGGACTGAGAATCCACCCCCAGCTTGACTTTGCTAAATGCTCAATCCAGCACAGGTTCTGGCCGGGGAGGGCACTCTGAGCCCTCACCTGAAAGTGAATAAGGATGTGAGGGAGCCGTGAGTTTTACCCTCGGCCTTGAAGGTCGTGTCAGTGAAAGGTACTCTCACAGACAGCAGGAGTGTGGGTGCGTAGTAGGATTTATCGGGTCTGTATTCTAGGCAGAAAAACTATTGTTTATCCTCCCTGAATCGCATATAAATAGACACGCCACCGAACAAAGAGAACTATTTAACTGATGCGACACAAATTCTCCCTAGAAGGAGAGAGAGAAATACAGGCTTAATGTAAACTTCACGTTTCCTATTTTCATGGCTCTTATCTGACCTATAAAACAGGTTATTGAGTTACGGCAAGCAACCACTTAAATGACTGAAAGCAAGAAGAGGGGGTTCCCACACCACCCCCCCAACCCCCACCCGGGCCCCGATTTTCCTGAAGCAATAGATCTCCTTTCTGTAATCCACAACCGAAACACCTAAAGTCTGTCAGTCGCAAAATTGCGTGGCAGAAATCTTTAATTGATGCCACATGTGGGATGCACTCTGGGGACACAGCGCTGCCGGCGGTGGAGCGGGCAGAGCGCGGAGGCCCGCGCAGGCAGCGCGGCCGCGGGGGAGCGAATGCACAGGAGAGACCGAGGGGAGTGAGAAGGCGACAGGAACGCCTGATAAGCGGGCTGCCCTGCCGCGGTGACAGGTTGGAGGGGGTGTGTTTTTTCTTTCCCCGGGAAGGATCAGGAGGAAAACCGAGGCGTTTGGCGAGGAGGCAGCACTTCCCGGCTGAAGGCTGTGCCCGCGGGCGGTGCGGGCAGATGCCCGAGCAGGGACGGGGGCTCGGGCGGAAGCGGGAAGATGCTCCTCCCGCGACCGTAGGTGGGGGTGGCGGGCACTGTGTGTGTCTGGCGGTGGGAGATGTAGGTATGCATCCCAACCGGGAGCCAGCGCAGCCAGGGGTGGATGTGATATGGGTGTGAGAGCCCCAGGGGTGCAGGCAGTGTCCGGAGCACTCGATCTGGAGGAGCGGGGGCTGCAGACTGCTCTGTGCGCGTGTGTCTGTGTGTCTGCGCGCGTCTGTGTGTATGTGTCTGTATGTGTGTGTGTGTCAGGCCCTGTGGCTGAGCCCTGGAGCCGCTCGGCACCCACAGGAATGTGGCTCCTCTCGGCTCCCCGAACTGCCCCGGCTCCACATGGAAGTGGCCGCCAGGAAAACAGAAGGGAGGGGAAGAGGGGGAGGGGCGGGGAAAGCCCCGAGCCAGCAATCCGCCGAGCCCAAACCCAGCATCAGACAAAGGACAGTTCATGCCATCCTTTTCCCGGGAAAGCAAAGGGGGAGGCCTGGCCGAGCTAGGCTCCCTCCGGCCGCCGCCGGAGCCCAGGGGATGCACCCAGGCGGGGAGAGGCATCGGGGTGTGCCTGCCTGTGTATGCGGGGACAGAGGGGACAGGAGCATCCTCCTCGGCCCGGGGCTCTCTCCTAGGGGCGGGCGGCCGTAGACTCTGAGTGTTCATCGAGGCCGGGGCTACGGCACGGGGAGCCCCGGCGAGGGCATTTTTATCCTCTATAGGAGAGGGATGCCAGGCTTTTTCCCGACCTGCCCAACACCAACCCGCTCTGGGAGGAGGAGAAATTAAGCAGGGAGAGGGATCGGCATGGAAACCCAGCCGAGCTGAATCGGCTGTCTTGGAGAGGCGAGCGATGCCTAGTCCAGTGGCCGCAGTGTGAATTCCCATCTCTGCCCGGCATGCTGCTTGCCGGCATTCTGCCTTCCCGGAGCTGTTCCTGCGCTGTCCGCCCGGGCCGTCCCGGCCCCGGCAGGTTACTGTGACCTAACAGCCCCTCAGCAGCTCCTCAAAGAAAGGGGTGGGTGGACCCACCTGGGAAATTGACTTCCACCTCTTGTGTCCAAACCTTTCTGCAAAGGGAAGTGACCTCCGGGAGGGAAGAATATCTTACTGCAAGTTGAATGCTTGTCTAAAGGAAAATGAGGAAAAGAGCGGAAGAAAATGAAAGGGTCGAGTTTTAAAAAATTTTTTTGTACAGGATGGAAGTTAGCAGAAGACATGGAGCCGAGCTTTTCGTCAGCCTCAGAGTCGCGGAAAGTCCCTGAAACCTTGCGAGTTAAATGAGCAGGGGACGGTCACGAGAAAGGTGGAAGAGATGGGGAGCAGAGGGGCACCGCGGCAGCGCGGCCGGTCTCCGGCAGCGGGCGGGGGGGCAGCCGGCGGCGGCCCCCGCCACCCTGCCTCCGGCACACCCGCACCCTCCCCGGCGTGCAGGGAGCACAACCGAACAAACTGGTCTATTGTACTGCAAGACATTTACCAACCCCCAAACCTGTTACAAAACAGCAATCCCCGGCTTCTTTCTTTGGGGAGAAAACTGCGCACACCACACTCACTCACGCACATGCACAAAACATGGCAGGCGGGAGAGGAAGGAGAAAAAAGGAGGGGGAGGGCAGCGGGGAGGAAGACTGGAGATAGGTAAGTGCGCCTCAGGGCAGGAGCGTGTCTTTTTGGGCCTCGTCTCCCCCCCTTCCAGCACTCTCCCCGCCAGCCTCAGCTTCCAGAGGAGCATCTTTCATCTCGGGGATTCTTCCAGCGACGCCTTTGGCACATTCACTGCTGTCGCCGTACCCCTCAGGGCCGTGAATTACCACTGCCCCCTAGGATGGGGGTCCCCGAGGGCCAGGACTTCTACTGGAAGAGAGCCCACGCTCCGTGCCAGTGGGCAGCGCTCCGGCCATCTCGCCCAAGCCATGCCTCCAGCGCTGAGCAGCCCTAGCGACTGCTCTGGCGCAAGGGTTTTTTTCCCTAAATCGTGTAGAAATAAAACAAAAACAATAAAAGTACCTCTGAAACGTTCCTCCTTCAGTCGAAGCCGCTGCAGGCTTTTAGCAGGAGCGAGGGGAGCGGGGCCCTCATTTTATTCTTTTCTCATATTTAGTGGCTCCCTTTGACGGAAACGTAATTTGTATAATTAGCCGAGCGCACACGGGCGACTGATGGGCTGTGGAGTGTGCAGCTCTCGACGCTAATTGCTCTCAGGAATGGATTCAAGGCGGCTTAAGGCGAGAGACTCGCTTTCTCGCATCAGGATGGGCAGCTTTCCCTTCAGCTTAAAGCACTATGCAGTAAGATGTACGCGGTCTTGCCAGAGCCCCTTTCGTGGCGGGGAGAGAGCACCGCCGCCCCTCGGCTGGCCCGTGGGTACCTGCAAGGGCCAGATCCTGCCAGCACACCCGGACTGTGGTGGCACTGCAGGATACTGGAACAGAACAACTCCCAGCTCCCATCCTCTTTCCTCACTTTCTTTCTGCAAGCAAATTAGTATTCTATTTTTTTCCTCTTATTAATAGAAGAAGGGGTAATTTGGAAACGTTTCTCTTGGTCGAAATAATTTTATTTTATTCAGAATATACAGTTTAATTCCTCTATCTACAATTATTTACAGGGTTAAAATAACATTGAAAAAAGTCTCTGGAAAAGTTGAGGTCATAGATTTCAAGGCACCAATGATAGTGTCCACAGCTGAGCCAAAAAATGTCCGTATTGTATAAAAAAGGGTTTCCTTTGAAATGCAATAAGTTACATGCACAAGCTTTACACATTTTAATCTTTTTGATTGTTTCTTTTCCCTTTAAAAAATTCCCCATATGCATTCCTTTCGTTATTATTCCTTAACAGTAAAACACAGGAGTCCAAGGAACAACAAAAAAATTAATAAAATAATAAGGGTCGGGTTCTAATAAATCGTCCCAGAGGCCAGCGCTAACGGGTGCTGTAGGGAGCCGTGGGGTTGGAGGTGGGAGTTGATGGAGTTGGCAGCGGGGTACCAAGAAGTGGAGCTCTCCAGGTAGCTGGATGCAGGGGACGGGTTGGAGTTTGGAGGGTGAGCGTGTGCGTGGGCATGGTGGCTGAGGGAGCGGGACGAGCCCTGAGATTCCCAAACCGCAGGTGACTGTGGAGAGTTGCAGGCCATGGGGTCGCTGGAACTGGGGCTGTGCTCCGGAGGCATCTCCCCGTTTTTCATGATCTTCTTGATCTTGGATCTTTTATTCTGAAACCAGATTTTCACCTGGGAGCGGGGCGAGAGGAGAGGAAAAGGGAGGAAAGGAGTGGGGAGGGAAAGCGACACCATTAATGCCCGCCTGGCAAGTCGGTGTTTCGCGGCTGCGGCGCCCCGCTGCCCTCCCGCCCCTCCGTGGGGACCGATCCAGCCCTTCCCGCCGCGCCGGGTGGGCCCGGGTTCTGGACCCGACGGACCGGGCCGCTCCGGGCCGAGCAGAGCTGCTCGCGGTACCTGTGTTTGCGTGAGTCCCAGGGAGGCTGCCAGCTCGGCCCGCTCGGGCAGGGCGAGGTACTGGGTCTTCTGAAACCTCCTCTGCAACGCTGCCAGCTGAAAGCTGGAATAAATAGTCCGGGGTTTGCGCACTTTCTTTGGTTTGCCGTTCACCATTCGCACCTCGGGTTCCGCCACCTCCTTCTCTGCACGGGTGCAAGAGCGGGAGAGAGACGCAGACGTTAAGTTCGGGACAGGCTCCACTCCGCGCCGCGCAGCCTGCGCCGCCGGGGCGGCATCCCGCCCGCGGGCCGGGCCGGGCCGGGAAGCGGCGCCGGCCCGACGGGCCCCTGCGGCTCCCCCCGGGGCTCCCGCAGCCGGGCGGCGGCCCCGCGCAGCCTCCGCCGGCTCCCCGCGGTGAGACGGGGGGGGAACCCGCTCCCTCCACACCGGCCTCGGCCACCCCCGACCCTCCTCCTCCGCCTCCCACGCCCGCCCTGGGCATCCTGCCGGGCGCGCAGCGCTGCGCGGGCGGGAGCGCAGGGCATGCGCGGCCACCGCGGGCGCTGGGAGGATGGTTGGGGCCCTTCTGGGAAGAGCTCTGTCCGGAGCGAAGTCGGACCCAAGGCATCGACCACTTCCTCTGCACGCCCGCGCCATCCCCCTGCCGCCGCCGGCGTGTCCCCAAGCGCCGCCGCGACCGCACTCGTCCCAGCCAAGCCCCAGCCGCTTGGCTTTACCACGGGATTGGGTTTTTTCCTCCCTGACTTTTTCCCCCCCTTTTCTTTCTTTTTCTTTCTTTTTTTCCCCCCTTTTTTTTTCTTTTTCCCTACAGCAAGTTACAAAGAAGCAAAGCACTAAAATCGCGACGCTTTCTGGTGAAAAACCCCCCTGGCTTCGCAGCCCCGCCACGGCTGGTCTCCCCCTCCCAGTCTCCTCCCCCGCCCCTCCAGCACAGGGGGAAGGAAACTTTCTTCAACACCGCGAACCTGAGTTTGAGACACGCAACAAGGCTCGGCTATTTTCTCCCTCTTCCTGCGGGAGGAAGGAGGAGGGAGGTAGCCATGGGGGCCCGGCGCAGCTGACAGAAGCGCTAAAGCACCAGTCCTACGATTTGTAGTTTAAATCATGCGGGCTGCTCAAAAGAAGTAGACCAGTAAACAAGTTCTCCACTTTTTTTTCCCCCACCAACTTTTTTTTTTTTTTTTTACCCTATTTATTTATTTAATTTTTGTTTCCCTTCTAGTTCAGGGAAAGCCGTATCCCCGTGGTCCACGGGTCAGGGATCTGCCGAGGCGCACTCCCCCAGACCCCCCAAAGCCGCGGGAGGTTTCCGCACACCCCCGGCCCTCACCTGGCTGGCTGGCGGAGCTCTGGACGCGGTTGTAAGCCCCGCTGTACTGGTGGTAGGGGCTGGCGTAGCTGTAGTCTGCATAGGCTTTGGCAGGATAGTTCCCGGCAGATCCGTTCATGCCGTGGTACTGATACTGGTAGGGGTTGAGCGCTTTGCCGTAGGAAGCCGAGGTAGGCGAGCAGTAGCCGTGCGGGGCTCCCCCCGCCGGGCTGTAGTAGTCGGAATCCGTAGCGGAGGACTCGGGTAAAGTGGGAGATTCCTGGGACGGGTGGTGCATGGCTGCAGCCGTCTGGAAAGGAGCTTGGAAGTCGCCGGATCTGATGTTGGGGACCCTTCTGTCAAATACTCCTGTCATAGCTCGGAGCCGGCGGCGGGCTGGGGCTGGCGGCGGGGCTGCTCGGGTCTAAGCAGACATGTCTGGGGGAGGAGGCTGCGGCGCGGTGTCTGTCTCCGGCAGACTGCTGGCTGGGGCGCAGCATAGGCTTGGTTAAATCCTTAATTGCGCTCTTACGCACAGCAGGGTGGATCGGGTTCCATTGGCCAGAGCAATCGGGAGCAGCGACACCCTAACTCGTCCAACTAGTTTAGCACAACAAAGCTTCAGCTAAAAAAAAAAAAAAAAAAAGAAAAAGAAAAAAGAAAAAAAAAAAAAAGAAGAGGGGAAAAAAAAGAGGAAAAAAGTCCCATTCAACCTCTTTTTAAAGTGAATACCAACAGCAATCTCCGAGTGGGAGCGTCGCGATTGGGAGGTTTCTGGCTCCCCCCACCCCTACAGCCGGCGAGGGGGCTCGGCCAGCCCCGCTGCCCTGCAGCCCGATGCCCCCGCACCTCCACCCGCAGGGCTCTGGGGGAGGGCTGCAGCCACGACGCTCGGATTTGCCGTCCGGTCCCCCTTGGCTACTTTGATGGCTTGGGAACACCGCACTGGGCGCTCCTGGTTCCCAACTCGATTGCTGATCTGGTGACAATACCCATTAACGTCTGACCGTGCTGTTTCCCTCGGACCGTCCTCCTTCCCTGGGGAAACGTCCGGGACCTCCGCGCTAAATACAGCAAACCCTGTTACCCCATAGTACCTTGAATTTTAGTTACATCATTTCCTGCATTTCCAAGACCCTAGCACGGCCCGCAGCCAGCCGAGACTCCCTGCATAATGCCCTGCCGTGGGGGTGTGGGGGAGCTGCTTGTGGCACCATACGGCCTAGGGGCACCCACCCCACGGATTTGGCGAAAGGCGACCTGCCCGTGGCACGATCCCAGGGCTAGAGAGCCCCCGACTCTCTCGCCAGCCCTGGCGCCCCTCCAGGTGCACTTGTGACCGCCCAGCCCCACGAGCGTGCGCTCCTCATCCCTCCGGGGCGATGCTCACCGCCTGGTCCGCCTCCGGCCCAGGGTCAGAAGCCCCTCACGGAGGGAGCTCAAATCACCCTCACGCGTGGGCAGGACCACTGTGAGGCCGTCGTGGGGCTTCTCCACTTGGAGGCTGTCTCAAGATCCCGCTTTCCGGGTGACAGCCCCAGGGAAGTGACTGGCGCTGTGCGGGGGTATCCTCCCCACAGCACTCCGGCCAGCAGCACCCTCCTTCACCCTCCACCTGCACCCGTTTTCTAGCGCCCATCTACGCACCCAGGTCCCAGGCAACGCGCTCTATGTCTGGGCCGGGGCGAGCCACGGGCTGGTGATGCCCGTCCCTGCCGATTTTACAGCAGTGTTGCAAAAAAAAGAAGGATCAAATTTTACTAGACACTAAGGAAAACAAATAAAAGGCTGTTTTCAGTGACCTGGAGTTGTAGATTTTTCTGAAGTTGTTTACTCTCCAGATTTAGCCTGTTTGCTCACCGAAGATCTCCCAGCCAGCTGAGTAACACTTGTAACACAACCGTGCATGTTGTACTTGAACTTATTGTTTGCTTTGGAAATGTCCACAGCTCATATAAAATCACATTAAACAAATCCCTAAGCATTTCATTACATGAATCACTTACTTAAATCCATTGGAAATATCTCTCCCCTCTTTTTTTTTTTTTTTTTTTTTTTTTTGTTGTTGTTGTTGTTGTAAAGAGAGGAACCGGAGAGGGACATATGTTTACGACTGGGGAAGGGGAGAATATGTTTATTAAAGCTCCCAGTTTTTGCATCCAGTTGGAAGGGACGGTAGAGATTTTAAGCAGACGAAGAGGGGGAGAGGGGGAGGAAAGCCCATTTGTGTCATAAATTCCAGGGCACTGCACTTCAACACGTCCGGGCAGGAAGGTGCCGTTTTAGGGGAGAGAACGGGAGAGAAGCTGCCCCAGCAGCTCTGGAGCCGCGGCGGGTCCCAGCCAAGGCGTCCCTACAGGCTCCTTGTACAGCTCACCGGGGAAATCTGGATCTCTGCAGCAGAAAGTTTCCTCTTGTTTTATTCAGCAGCAGTGCAGGGGCCAAAAAAAAAAAAAAAAAAAAAAAAAAAGCTTCGATATTAACAAGGGAAAAAAAAGGCAGAAGCCCATCAGATCCAACCACAAACCCCCCAAGATGATTTTTTTTTTTCTGAAGGCATCCGCCGCCGTTGCAGTCCGTGAGAGGATTACCGGGCTGAGGGCATACAAATCCGCCTGTTTGCGGGTTTCCTGCCCCCCATCCTTCCCGGCTCGAACCCGATTTTCTTGCCTTTCTGCAGTTTTCCCCCAGCGGTTTTTATTTAACACATCCGGTGGGAGCGGGCCGTTTCGAGGGAGCCGGAGTCTGTTTTCCATTTCACAATATGGTCATTGTTTACCGGCACATGCCCGCCGCGTCGCCTGAGCGGCTGCCCGGGGCCCCCGCGGCCCGTTGGGGCCCGAGCCCCGCTGTCCCCCGGGGGAGGTGGGCGCTGTGTCCCCGCGTCCCCGCCGCCGCCGCCGCCGCCGCCGGGGCCGCGCCGAGCCGTGCCCGTGCCAAGAGCGCCCCGCCGTGGCCGCGGGCCCGCAGCGCCGCCGCGCTACCTGCGCGCCTCCGCCCCTCCCGCCCCGCCGCCGCCGCCGCCCCCGCCGGGGCCAGACTGAGCGGCGGCGGCGGGCGCGGAGCCGGGCCGCCCCGCCAGCGCTGTCCCCTCAGGGCACGGGGACCGGGGCGCGGGAGCCGCCGGGCCGGCGGCCGCGGCAGGACAACGCGGCGATTGTTCCCGCCCGCGCCTGGGAGCTGCCGCGGGGGCGGCGCTGGGGCCCCGACCGAGCCCCGCGGCGGGACGGGCGCTGTGTCCCGGCCGCTGTGTCCCGGCCGGTGCCCGCCGGCCGCCCCGCCCTGCCCCGGGCCTGGTCGGGAGTATCCCCACCGGCTGAACCCTCCGCCCCGGTTCGCTCCGTCCCCTCTCGCTCAGCAGCGCTTTGTTTCCAGCCAACGAGAGAAATATTTCGGATGAGCCTCTCAGACTTTTGGATAAAATCTTGCAATTGTTCGCAGAAAATCTTTCGCTTTCTGGATAAAATATTCTCTCTTGGGCACCGAGTTTTTGCTGGGAAGCTTTATTTGCATGGAAATTGCTGGCAAAGAATGAAAGGAAATTTTTTCCCTTCCTTAAAAAAAAGCCCCAAACAGCCCTCCGCAATGGAAACACGAATTAACTCTTGTTTTACAGCATCAGAAAATGGTGATTGCCATTCAACAACTTCAATAACTGAGGACTTTCCTCATCTTAGGCTTAGGACTTGTTTACCTAGGGGATTGTTTTCAAGATGAAGAGGCAAAGGGGTTGAAAGTCCTTATATTCTCACCTAAGGCCAAAAAAAAAAAATCTGCTGCAAAGTAAAAAGTCTTGTAATTTTCAGTATGGGCAAAAGCTATCGGGGATCCAGTGGAGAGGGTTAGTGAACTGCCCAGAAGGATGCTCACAAGACAGTGAGAAAGGGAGAAATACAGGAAAGGATTTTGGAAAGCAGCAATTGCAAGCAGGGAAGGAGAAATAAACCTGACAGAAAACTCAGGGAAGGCATTAAGCCTTTTTGCTCACATTTTAGTAACTTTCTGAAGAGCCTTTGGCTTTGGGTACAGATAGTTCAGGGAGAGGAAAATGGACATGTCTCCACCTAGGCACGACATGCTCTGCTATGGGGAACTTAAATCACTCCTAAAGGCAAAGATGTTTGTGCTCCTGTGAAGGTCACCGTTTGTGTTGATGGAAGGATGCACATGTGAACTTGGGATCAAAGCCTGTGTGGTCCCTCAAGCACTGGTGCAGGCATTGTTTTAGCCCTCCATCCAAAAGGGTCATCCGTCCAAAAGGGTAATTTCCCACCCCTGGAACAGTCTTTTCTCTTCTAGTTTCTCGTGTGTGCCCAAGAAATACTGGGCCTCCAGTTAATGAAGTGAACCTGCCACTTTGGCATTTCCATGGCTGATGGATTCACTGCCACGCTTGGCCACAGACTAGGCTCTGCTGGCCTCGCTTGTCCAGCCTGTAAATTGCACAGCGCATAAAAACCATGACATACAGTGTTAGGAATTAAAATTTGCTTTTTAGGGCAACCTGTGACTGTCTCTTTCCGTTGCCAAGGAGCTGACAAGAGAGCATACACTTACACCTATTTACCCCAAATTGCACCACTGTGAGTGAAGAGGCGAGCTAGGGCTTCTTGTTAAGGTCAGCTGTAGCAGGCTGAGCCAAATGTGGGGGACAAGACAATGTTATGGGATTCCTGGAGACTCAAGGCTTCTGCCTGCATCCCCCCTTCCCTCTTTCCTCAGGGCATACCTTCCAGGGTTGCTGAGGGGTTGCTTAGCTGTTTCTTGATGCATCACAACCTTCCCAAGGCAGGGCATTTTGCAGTCACAGTTGAGTCACGGCCTGCTCCTCCAGAAAGGGAAATATTCAATGAACTCTCCCATTCCTTTACCTTTTGGAGCTCTGTCCACATGAGCTCATGGAGCAGATGGAGAACTCACATTATTCTTCCATTCATGGGCTCAACATGGATGTGACCCATCTCAACAAATATGGAGATGTGCTCTGGGCTGGGCAGGATGTTTCAGGAAAAGTCTGTCCTAGTCTTTTTTCCTGTTTCCAGCCCATATGCTTCCATTGCGATGTAACACTGGCCTCTTTCTAAGGTCATGGAGGCCAGCAGAGAGCCATCATCAGAAAACCCAGCTTTTTGCAATGAAGTTGTTCTTCTACCTGCCTCCTCCTCAGGTGGTTGGATGTTGTTATTTCAATAACTGTAGGTGCTTCAGCTGATGTGAGGCCCAGTGGTTTTAAAGAAAGCCAAGACACAAACCAGATGGAGCCCTCTCCAGATCTGCAGTTTGGGTCAGTGAGAGCTGCAGAAGCATGGCTCCCTGTGCAGTTGCCCCCAAGTTTCCGTAACAGATGTTTGAGCATGGATCTGGAGCTGCATGGGC